TTGAAAAGTTTTCATGTTGCTTAAAAACAAAGAAATTCTAAGATCTTTTTTAGACAACTTCCTTAATCCTCCTAAAATTTTTTAGAATTTTTTAAAATATTTAAAAATCTTTTTAGAATCTTTTAAAATATTCTAAAAATATTCATAGATTCTTCTATTAAAATATTTTGAAAATTTTTTAAAATATTTTAGAATGTAATAAAATATTCTAAAAATATTCATAGATTCTTCTATTAAAATATTTTGAAAATTTTCTAAAATATTTTAGAATGTAATAAAATATTCTAAAAATATTTCTAAAATATTTTTATTAGATGTCTATAATAAAATTAATATATTTTTTAAGTAAAAAATAAAAAATTATCAAAAAATTCTAAAAAGACATAATTTATTAGATGTTAAAAAGTTGTTGATATATTTGTAAGTCCAAAAAGAATGACATTGTATTTAAAATATCCATACTTTGTTCAAAATACAATCTTCTAATTATTTCTTTTTTTGATGCTTATTAGATTGTATGCTCCTTATAGATCTATTTTTATATAGATCTTTTTTGGATTCAATTGATCAAAAAATCTAAATATCAAAAATAAAGAATGCATATTCTTAATAGTAATCATATTAAGTCCTTAATAATAGATATACATCTATAATGATATATTTTTTTTTTATAAATAAGATTGAAGTTCATATTAGAAATTTGGAATGGTGTATGAAATTATTTGCCAATTATTAAATTTAGCTAATTTATTTTGTGATAAGTTGTAGATTGGTCCAAATGGCAGTTGAGCTCTTTCTTGAAGGTCAATTGAATAGTTACGGGAATGATGTTTTAGAAGAATATCTACATTCTCTTTTTCAAAAGCACCTTGAAAATCTTAATATTTTCTTCGAATGCTACTTGAAGTCTTTCTATCATCTTGATATTGGATTAGAATACTATTTAAATGTTATTTTTATAAGAAGGATTTCATGAACAACATCTCTAGAAGATAATAGATGACTATCTATGACCTCTACATGAACAAGTTTAATTTTCTTCATTAAAGATATATTATGTCTTTTAATAAATTCTTCATCTAAGAAATAAATTGAGATTTCTAAATCTAGCAAGCTAAAAGCTTTACAATATTTAGGTCCTAAACTAATATCTATTGTAAAATAAAAAGAAGATTTTAAGAAGAGAATAAAACCTTCACTAGGTAATGTACAAGGTTCTAATTGCATGGTCCCTATTATAATTAGGCAAATTTTTTTTTTTACATGTTTTTTTTAACAACCATACTCCTGAGTTTGTGGTTGTATTATTTCTTTCAAAAATATTGAATAATATGTTTAGATTCTCTATAATATAAGCATAATCTTTCTTGACAATGAGAAGTCTTTTTTTGCTCAATGAGAGATTTGAAATGTATTGCATCAATTTACATATCCTCTACTTTTGAATGTATGCATTAAGAAGATATTGGTATTGCCATTGAATTGAAATAATGTTGAGGCCCTTTTATATGACTCTTAGATCAAAAATCAAAAAGTTGGTTGTTACTTTTGATAGCAAATTTGATTGCTTAACTTAATATTTAAGGATCAAATAAATTGAACATCAATTTTTTTATTTCATATTGTAATCTATAAAAAAATTGGCTAATGAATGTAATATCATTCTACTTGATATTAGTTGCAAGTTGTCAAAATTATGAAGTATATAATATTATAAATTAATTTTAGGTTCTATATTGGATGTTCCAATAAAACTAATATATGATCCTAGAATTAGATAGCTTTGGAGTTGAAATTCAATTGTTAGTTACACTTAATTAATAAATTCTCAAAATTTTGATTTTGTGCCATCAAACTTCTTGGAAAAGAAAATTTGTATTCTCTATTGCTTGAACAGTGTACCACTATAGAAAAAGTATCATGATTTGATGTAGATGTCAAAGCAGCTCCAATCATCTCTATATCCTTACTTTCTACTAATCTTGTTGTTCCTTCTGGTGGTAAATTGAATTGATGCATAGCAAGCACTAACTTCCTCAATTGTTCTTGCATTTATACTATTGCATTCTTCATTTTAGTAAGTTTTGATATGATTACACTATATAAAAGAAGATGTTAAATATTTTTTAAGATAAATTAAAAAGAGGATTGAAAAGAAAAAAAAAAATTCTAAGTACAATATCAGTTTAGAAGTGAGTAATCTACATATTCTAATATGCTTATTTTTTATTAAAAAAAAATATAATTCACTCTTAATCAAGAAGAGACAAAGCTTTAATATTATAAGTATATTCTTGTCAATTTATCAAAAATAAGACATTAATAAAGGCAAATAAATAAGTAAAAAAATTTTCAAAGAAAAATAGCAAAATCAAAATAAAAAAATATGTATATTAAAAAGAAACTAGAATGGATATTATGAAAAGACAAGAAAATTAAAGATCCTTAAAACTAGACTAGAAGCAAGAAAAGAATTAACAAGAGTAAAGAAGGCTTCACTCTTACCTCTATATATACTATCTATCTAAAAGTTATATGATGACGTTCTCTAGGACCTCCAATATGTGTCTAATTTGCAAAACACATGTCTTAATTTGTAAGGTAATTTTTCTATATATATATATATATATATATATATATATATATATATATTATTAATAGCTTGTACCACAAGCTATGAATATGTGCATCACATGGTAACTTCTTGGCCATGTTTGTAACCTCCCAATCAATTATAAACATGTATAAAGGTGAAATTATGTATATATAGCTTCTAGCAAGTTTCTTTAAAAGATATTATAAAATTAATTTATTTTTACTTACTTCTATTTATTCATATTACCTAAGTAATTATTATAATAAATATATATGTCTATGACATGGCCTCAAAAAAGCTTCTTAAATAATGTAGCCATTACGAGAGAAATTGGTATGTGGATAATAATTAGATGATACATTACTTTATAAAAGTTATCATAAAAATAAGTTGTTCTTTGATTTTGTTTGTTTTAGATCACACTTTTAGAATGTACATACATATTGGCAATTATCTTAGTATTATTTTTAAGTACTCAAAGTAGAAATAAGATAATAACACAAAAAATAAAGTGATATTAAAATATAATACTATATCTTTTATTTTCACTCCTACATCAATCAATAACAATTGTAGAAATAATAAACATCTTTTGTGTATCAAGTATTGTAATTCAATAATAATATCAATTCATAAATAACATAATATAAATTATAATTATAAATATTATTTTTTTAAGAATTTATTATATTTACAAAAAACCATGTTAATTTTTTTAGTATTTTACATCATATTTTTAATAAATGATTATCTATTATTAACATTAAAAATTATTTTTATTAATATATTATATTTAAATATAATATAAATAGTTATAACAACAACAATATATAAATATATTTATATATGATATTTTGTATTAAAAATTAAGATATAATATTTTTTGTGCATATATATATATATATATATATATATATATATATATATTTAGAGTTCTAAAGCAATATCCCTATGTTGTATAATACAATACCTTTTTAGGTTCTCATAATTAATTCAATCTATCCCATGTTCCTTGTTCCTAGTTTCTAACCTTTCATTTTCATTCTATATTTCTAATCTTCTATTTCTAATCCGTATGCCTTATTCCTTGTTCTTGTCTCATGTCTCTTGTCTTCACTTTCTCCCCCCTCTCTTTGTCTTCATTCCCAACATATGTTTCTTGTTCCTTGTCCTTATTCCTTGTCACTTGTCCTAACTTCCATTCCCTTCTTGTCTTCCATTCATATTTCCATTTTATAGAAAATGATATACAACTTTCAAAACAATTCATGTTTCTTATTTGAAAAACCAACTATAAACTTGGAGCCTTTAGCCATGGATTTTACATTTGATGTTTGTTTCAAAAGATTTGCAAATTTTAAATCTAAGTTGGAAAATGCTAGATTCTACAAGTACACAAAATAAAATTAAGTAATCTAACAATGTTTAAATTAAAAAAAGATGTATTATCATTTAATTGCAATGGAGATTAGTAATGTTTAGTCACAAATCTTTTTTATAAAAAAACAACTCTTTTCAAGGTTATTGTTTCCACTCACAATAATAAAAAACAAGAACATAGGATAGGTACTTAGAATAGAGATTGGATGTCAAGACATGAAGTATGGATTGGGAATAAGATATTGGAGACAATGAATTGCAATAAGGAAGATGGAAGATGGAAATAAAAATAAGGGTTGGATGAGAGAGATGGAAGTTGGGAATGGAGGACCAGAAACAAGAAATTGGGACAAGGAAATGGAAGCTAGGAACATGGACAAAGGAAGTTGAGATAGAAGACAAGAAATAAATTGATTAATTATAAGAACCTAAGAAGGTGTTGCATTAGCAACTCTTTATATATAATAATAATAAAAAATATAACTTTTATAAAATAATTTTATAAATATATTTAACATAAATCAAAATATTTTATTATTTTAATTGATTGATTGTTTGTTTTTTTATAATAAAAACTTGATATATATATATATATATATATATATATATATAGAAAATACTATAATTAAGCCCAATTATGGAATAATTCAAAAACTTGAACTTCAATGTGAGAATAAATTTATTTAAACTTGTCTTATGATTGAAGGATAAAATCTAAGCAAATGATTACATTCAATTCTTTTACACTCTATTAATATTCTTAATACAAATATATGTAATATTTCATATTTTAAAAAATCATACATATTATATTTCATAATATAATTTAATAATATATCACATTTTTCTATTAAAAATATTTAATGTTATTTTATAAGAATGTAATGTGAGACATTAAAATTAATTAAATCATTATGTATATATATAAATATATATATACACAAGATTATACTATGTGTAGTGTACGTGAGTGAGCGCGCGTGTGTGTGGGTTTCTTATCGCTCACACTTTATAAGAGCGTAGTGTAGGTTTTCACAGCTGCGGGATGCCGCTAAGGTTTTTATTGTACATTCCACAGCTCGATTGCGGCAGACGTGCTGGTGGAGAGGGGATATTGCGCGTTTGTTAGCAGGTGTGCGGTTCATGTGAGCAGGGCCTCTGCAGCACTGGATGCGTCGTGCGAGTGGGCCGTACCAAGTGACGCCAGGACATGAGCGCCCATCCCCAAGGGCGTTAGGCAGATTGCAGCAGGGTTTTGCACTGACAAGCGGGATTTAGATGCGCTTCGAGTCGTGATACAAGAGTGTGGCACAGTAATATGGCTTAGGGAGTGCTGATGAAGAGGGCTAAGACCACTTGGAAACGGTAGGCGCAGCAGCTGGGTTTTGGTACACTGGATAGCTGCAACACGTGAATATCCTGCAGGCCGCGGAGCATTCCCATCGCCGTGATTTTGAGCACATCCATTGCCCCGATTCGTCTATCCTGTTGGGCTTTTGATCAACTTCGTTGAGTAGTCTTCGTCTACTGCTCCCGTCCCGTTTAGCATTGTGCGTAGCTTATGCTGCTTACGAATACCCAATTTTGTTCGTGTGTTTGCTTCTCCGAATCCCCGGTTTGTATTAGAGCTTGACGTAATGTTGGCCTAATCGCTGCATTGAGCTTCGTAGGATTGTTGTTGCAACAATATCTGAAGTGGAATTAATGTTCTTTTTCGTGCTTGGGAATAGGCGCTCAGAGAAGCAGACCAGCGCACCAGGCTTACTTTGAACTTTTTGCGTACGAAATTAGGAGACAGAGTTCTTCACACTGGAAATCTTATGATCAATGATATTGCCGCCTGCCCGAGTGGCATGTCCGCAAGTTTTTTTTTTTTTTTTTTTTTTTTGATGGTTAGTAACGCAGCTGTTGAAGGAGAGCTTCATTTTTTTTATTTTTATTTTTATTTTATTTTTTTGTTGCCTTTGCCTTGTGAAGTCTGTGACTTTGGTGGTGTCAGAACATGATGGGAGCAAACTGAAGTCCTTGTCTTTCAGTGCAATTGCAGCGGCAAGAAGAGTGAAAGTGAGTAGCACACTATTAGGACTAGGAGGACCACCTGAAAGGTTTTATGAGCCTTCATATTCTTCTCTTCTTTCATTCACTTCGTTAAACCCTAATGAGAAAGACTTTGGAAAAGCTTCAAAATTGATTCGAGATCATGATTTAAAGTACCTTGCCGTAGCAAAGTATGTTCTTTTATCGTAAACTTTGCCTCTGTTTTCCTTATTTTCCTTGTCCCCCTCATTTTTATGAGTGGTAGTAACATCCATCGTTTTATCAGCCCACTGCGAGGAGAAGAGTAGGAAATGGTTCCAATATGAGTTTTAGATTCATAGTATCTTCGCTCATAGACGAATTTCCAATTTTCAATCCAAAAACTGTGCAAGCCCTTAAAGAGTTTGTTCATCATGTGACTAGTATAGAATACTTGGAATCTAGTTCTTGTGGCCCATCTAGTTGGTCTCTGTTATCCTTATTCTCCGTAGCTTGATCAGGTGATCAAAACATAGAGCTTTTTCGTCAGAGCTTGTAGAGCTTTTTAACTTCAACAGCGTAGCGCAGGTGACCTTGAACTCCCATGCTATACTTGTCACTCTAGCGGCAGTTTGCGTGGGCAAGTCTTCATGAACTTTTAACCCTCGAGCACCAATGGTACCAGTTCGCTTAGTGGTGTAGATTAGTCTATGCTTTGATGGGCAATGGGCAAGCATGACAATTCTTTCATTTCAACTTCACTTCCTTGCAGTTTTCCTATTGACTTGACGAAAAAAAATAATCCAATTGTAGTTGGCTTGCAGGTGTATCCACTCTTTTTGTTAGGTGAGTGATGTTGGTTGCTGTTTGTATATTTTTGCCCAAGTGATTCAATGTGGGGGTTTATGTTATCTTCAAATTTTACAAAGGTAGCTGGTTTCCAGCTCGACTGATACAATCAAGTATGTTAATCTAAGGTGTTGTCGTGCTTGTGTATCTGGTTGCCGGACATTGTATACCAGAAAAGCTGAGGATGCAAGAAGATTGTCTTTGGCGGAATTGAGGAAACAACGTGGTGATGTTTAGGTCCCTACATATCCTGATATCTTGCACCAATTATCATTGGAAGATTTAATTTGTTCTCATTAACCTACTCATCCCAAGTCCGCCTCCTTCCACGAACTAAGAATTCCTGAGCCAAAGTGATTCGTCGAAAAGCTGCACGTGTAGGATTCAAACTTAGGATGCGGCTACAGTGAAGCCTCGGAGGTTTACGCAGTGGTGGGTATTCCGAAGCTTGTGACCAAAACTTGTAGGAGGGTGACCGCAGGGAAAGGCTGAAGTATGTCCGAGATGACGAGGGAGGATGATGGTGAGCAGCCTCACGTGGAGACTAATTCGAGTCCCGAGATTGATTATTTGATGAGATCCTTGGGTGAGGATGTGAAACTATCGAACTCGCCACGGCGTCCTGGTCTGAAGAAGCGTGCTGCTAAACCCGCGAAGTCGCCTTCATCCTTGACAGTGTCTCCTCCTCCGCGTGATAACTCCACCTTCTTCCAACCTCAGCAGCAGCAGCAGCAGAGTCACCCCAGTCCGCCACCCCAGTTTGATGTGGCAATCTTTATGCCATCGCCTACCGCACCTTGGATCAAGTTTCCCCCTCTTTTGCTTTCTCCACAACCCGTCGATACCCACGGCCTTAATCTTCCGAACACCACCATCGGTAATCCTACACCACACCAGAGTGTACAATTAACAGCTTCACCTTTTGATCACTTGTCAACCTCGAATTCAGACTTGCTGGAACCGTCGCCGGAGTATCCATGGTTTCCCGCATCCCAGGATGCACAGCCCGCAACGCCAAATTTCACTCCCTTAGTTCAGCTCTTGAATCTTTCACCAGTGGCTACTAAAGTTGGAGAGCGCACGTTACCAACCTTGTCAACTTACAGCGATGGCATGGTGTCGATGCCTGCCTCGTCCAGAATATCGTCCGAAGCTGTGGGCAACCAGGATGGTTTTACCGGGCAGGGCAGGTTGCCATCTCCAACCCCCTCGCTCGTGGGTGACGTCTCCCCATTGAACAGCCCCCTGACGAGCACTCCAAACTCCCCCTTCGACTCCCCTTTCGACTCCCCTTTCGGCTCTGAGGGTGGCTACTTCAGTGATGGCGGAACTCTGATTGACATTGTTGGCGTTCTCGAGAGTAATACAAGTAGCGCCAAGAGGAAAACGCCCGACCGCGCCTTGGACGAAAGTGAAGATATTCAACCCCTTGATGAGCCCGACCCCAAAAAGCAGTAAGCTGCCTTTTCCTTCACCTTTTAGCGACAATCTCCCCGTGTCTGCCCCTCATGCTTGTAAATTCGTCCAATTCTAATTCAGCACTGCGTTTTCTAATTGCAAAGATTAATTTGATCTTGTATGTCCCTGCTTCAGAACGACGAAGAAGGAGAAGAAAGGAGCTGTGAAGCTGAACAAGCGAGTGAGAGTACCTCGATATGCAATTCATACGCGCAGCGAAATCGACGTGATGGAGGATGGCTACAAGTGGCGCAAGTATGGCCAGAAGGCTGTGAAGGATAGCCCATTCCCGAGGTTAAGCTCGCCATTGCACTCTTCTTGCCAGCATGGCAGCTGGAAACACTATATCCAATGTTTTTAATGTAATCTAGATTCTCGTCAATAACCCTGACTACTGTTTATCTTTTCTCCCTGGATTGACTTCGCAGGAGCTACTACCGTTGCACGAACCAGACGTGTCCAGTAAGGAAGCGGGTGGAGCGAAAGGCGGGCGATGCAGGGCTCGTGGTAACAACCTACGAGGGCACACATAGTCACCTCAGCCCTGTCACTGAGGCTGCAACTGTAGCAGCAGCGTCTGCAAAGGGGTCGGATGGCTTCAATGCTACACTCTCCGAGGACAGCCGGCCAGCTGCCGCAACCTGCTTCCCCTTCCAACCCGTTCAGGAACGTAACATGTTTGACCTTACTATGCAGATTCAAGCCGGGGAAATAGATCTCGAAGCAGCTAATCGTGACTTAGCCTCTGTCGCGAAAACATCGAACGAAGAGTCACAGCCCCCTCCAGTTGGATTGCACACCCATAACAGCCTGTACAGTGATTCACACCTCCCCAACGACTCGCACATTCTAAACCAAGCACAGCTTGATCCTGACCGATTGTTGGAGTTGCAAGGTGAAATTCCAGCGTCCGTGGTTATTCCCGATCCCCAGCTTGGAAGGTCCCAGCTAGAAATGTTTGATCTGAGCGGTCAGCTCTCAAATACTGAGAGTTACGTCAGCTTGCTGGGCGACATCTTACAGAACTCTGGCCCGCTCCACCATCTGTAACTCCTCTCCCTTTCTCCAACATTGAAATTGGCGTTTTTTGTATTCATCGTCATTTCACAAGGTTTATTATTTTTGACGTCCGATGTCCTCAATTAATCAATCAACTGCGCCTATTGATCCAACGACGGAAATCAATAGTGGTCTGAAACAGATATTGATTAGATGTAAGGTTTAGGGTTTTCCACCCCTTGCTCAAGAAGGTGGAGAGAACAGTGACAACATGTTTACCACTTCCTCTCCCATTTCCCAGTGATTGCAGTGATGACAAATTAATTCTCCACCTTCCTAGGAGAAGTTTCCATTATCTAGGGCCCATGCTGAGGTATGCTTCCTGCAGGAGGACCCAACCTCTGGGTTGCAAGAGTGGCATCCACTTTCATGAAGGATAACGTGTAGCATGGTGTAAAGGTCGAGAACATTGTCTCCGTCCTTAAAATCAAATGATTGTGAAATTTATTTAGCGCAGGATGTTTTCTAGCTTGGCAATTGGAGGCTACATTGAGGATCTAGGATTTAGCCTTAGAGTTGCTCCGTCAACAGGAAATGGCTAAACATGCGAGAGAGGGAGAGAGAGGTATTTCAAAATCTGCTCTTGTAACAATGTACAGTATCACATGTATTGCACTCATCAGTTTTGTAAAGGAAATCAGACTCATATTATTGTCTCTCCTTTCAGGATTCCGAAAGTTCACTTGCATTCTTAGAATCCCTTATTTATACTTCTTCATTGATCTGTCATTCTAGCTTTTGGGCCCTCCCCAAGGGGATTTGTCTGCTTTAACCTGATACAATTTGTACGCAATCCACTTTAGTGAGATTAGGGCATCCATCAATGATAGTTTCTTTTGAAATCTGGATGATCAGTTCCATACCTTGAATTGTTTTTCAGACCCTTTAGAGTTGGAACTCGGTATAGCAAATGGGAACATTGACTTGTAACAGCAGACGTACTCAGGAGTGCTATTATGTGAAGCATTTTTGATGGTATAGGGTATATCCCTTTCCAAAATACTAGATGGTCGGATTTTTTGGTTGTGGCTACTGCATTTTTTGAACATTTAGAAACGAAAAGGAGACATTGTGAAACAGGAATTTGTTAATCTGAGTTTTTGTCTTCATCAATAGTAGATTCTTAATGAATGTTGGCAAGTGTCAATGTTTTAATCTAGGATTTATCTGACATATATTTATTATGATAATTGAGTATAATAAATAATGATCTTCCTATTTATCTCAAAATGATGTAGGATATAAATTAAATGATAACACTCAGGCCACAAGCACATCTCAAGCACATCTCAAGTTGCTATATGCACGTCCATTATATCTATACATATACTAAAGGCTTCTTGATTAGTTGCTCTAAATCCCCCTTCTATGTCACAATATGGGTCTTTAGACCTCGTCTTTTTCTTCTATGTCTTCCATGTATGGATCCTAGTATCTTCTTCCATGTATGGATCCTAGTATCTTCTTCCATGTCTTAGAGTGGATCTTGGACCTCTTTTCCTCTTTCTTGTCTCGATGCCAAGACTAAAAAGATGGGAAGGAAGTCCAAGTCCTATACCAATACAAGAAGTGGTCTAGAGAAAGAAAAGTGGTTTAGAGTGTGAGTCATCAAATTGACTCATTAATTGTTTTAGGATAAAAAGATGCATTTAGAGTGCTTAAAACCACAATATATGGTGAATAGTATAGAAATCTTTAGACAAATAGAAAATTAGAATGTTAGTTGTAGAAATGGAGTCTTAATAAGTCTTAGAGGTAATTATCTTAGTTGGTTTAATATTTTTTACTTATTATTGAATATTAAGGATTATTTATTAAATTCAATATTTATATTGGCCTTCTATCTATATGTATTATTTATAAAAAAAACTATAAATGTTAGTTAGTAGCTAGAAGAAGCATGACAAAGAACTTCATGTCTTTTTAGTTATTTATATAAAAAGTAGGATTTATAGTAAATTTAAATTAGTTTTATTATTATAAAAAACTATAAAGATAGAAAAATATAGCTTAAAAATAATATTAGTATTATAGAATCATTATAGGAATTTTTAGAATTTATTTAGAATTTATTTAGATTTTTTTAGGAATTCTTAGAGTAATTTCTAAGACTTTGATAAAAATGAATTTTACCATTTCGAAAGCCATTATGAAAAAATGGAGCAAGACTTGAAGGCCACACAAGGTTTTTTGGCTAATTGGGTGTTTTTAAATACCATGGTCAAGTCAAAAATGTAAAAATATTGATTTTACTAGTAGAAAATAGGAGGACCAGCAATTAGTATAGTTCTTGTAAGAATGGAGGTGCACAAGTTCTATATGGGTTGTAGCACCTTGAAGGTAGTTACGAAGATAAGACTAAGGCCTCATGGCCTTTCTTAGACATCCATATATACTACTTGTGAGCCTTGGTGAGGCTCAAACTTTTGATGTCTTAAGCAAATTATCCTTGAGATAAAAATTATTTACTTAATTTTTTTTTAATTTTTTATTTTATTTTTAAACCTTCATAACTTACTAATAATAAATTGGATTTACATGTTTCTTACATCATTAAAAAGATAAAAAATTATCTTTCTAAAATTACATTTTTATTTTTATTTTTTACTTTTTATTGGATGAAAACTAAGTGAATAGATTGTGACTAGTTTTGTAGTATACAATTGCTTGATTGCACTTGTTTCACTTGTTTTTGTATTGTGCTTCTTTTGTTCTTGTTCTTCCTACTTCCACTTCACACCACCAATTACAAGCAACTCTTAATTGAGGTCATCTTGTAATTTGGATTGAAGAGTGAATTTTATATTCATATAGAGCAATCAATTAGAGGGCTTGGATGTATGTTTAGACATAATAAAATATAAAAAATTCTAAAAAAGTATTTGTACTTGCCATATAAAAATTAGTACTTGATACATAGTCTTTAACAAAAAAGAAAGCATACAATGCTCAAACTTATGATATTTAACTATATGTATAAACTTTCTCCAATAAATATTATAAATAATTGCAAGACTTTTTTTTAGGTGGCTAATGAAATATGAAGATTGAGAGACTTGCCATGAGTACGATAAAATCTTTATACAAAGTACTAAGATTTGTTGAAACAAGTTGCAACATGGCTACATATAGTCTTGATCTAAAAATCCTAGTCTAGTAATCATACTATGTGTTGATCACAAGACTATATACTTATATGTTAGTAAATTATTTATAAATCATTGCAGTCTTTTGTACCTAAAAAGCATACATTTCAAAAATTAATTAATCTTTTTAAAAATATTTTTATCACATTTATTCATATCTTAGAGGGTTTAGATTCTTATATTAGCAATGACTTGGTAAATCACAAGTACTCAAAAACTACCACATAATGACTTTGATATACTAGAGATCAATAATCAAAATAAAAAAAGTGAAACTATTTATGAAGACTTCAGATTTTCAAATTATTTGACCTATATCTTAAACTAAGTATAAATAATATAAGAAAAAATAAATGAAATAATTTAAAATATTTTAAAACTTATTTAATATAAATTCATTAAAATATTAGAGATAATAATGGATAAAACTACAAAAGATATTAAAAATTATTTTTTTTAGAAATTAAAGTTAGAACCATCTTCAACATATAGCCATGAATTATATAAATAAGTATTTAAAAATCAAAACTTTATAAGAGATGTACATGTATACAACAAATCTTATTGTTGCTTTGATTGACAAGAAGAAGTTATAGAAGTAAACCTTCAATCTTTGTGACACTTAATTAATTACTACCATTGATAACCTTCTCCAATATAGTGTTACTCTATGCAAAGTTCTTAGTATAGCTCTTCAAGATGTCCAGAAGCTATAACAATTGTTATAAACTATGTATACATGATTACAAATTCAAAGAATCTTGTTAATATTATAGTCTATAATTAATATCTCTATTTTATTTTCATGACACAAATACCACAATTGATTTTGAATTTTGATAATCCGTATGGAATCTACTTCAATAAAAGATTTATCTATTAACAAATTACTTGAAGATCTTCTTGAATAGTATGAAGCTAAGACTTGTGCCAACTCTATTTTTTCTTCACCTCTTGAGAGAGCTTTTGCTACAATATTCTCCACAATATTAAAAAAAACATCTCTAGAAATTCTTGCTCTTTATCGTATGTTGTGTATGGATACTTCTATTTCTTGAAGTATAAGCCAAATATTATTATGTACTAATAGTCTTCAAAAAACACTTGATTCTTGGTACATATATTATTATACTTTATAGGTATTAACATTTTTTTTCTATTCTAAAAGATATTGTCTTTCAAAGATCTTGTATATGTTTAACAATCCAATAAATAAATTTAAAAGCTTGGCATTCTTATACAAAAATTTTGCTACTATCATAAAATTAACTCAAAATAAAGAAATTAAAAAATAAACTCATAAAATCATTATATACTACTAAAAGTAGAATATGAATTTATTAAAAGATCAAAAGATTGAGTTAAACCTTCCAAATTTCTTACAAACTTTATTAACTTAGATTCTTAAAAAATAAAAATCATGCGGATATTTAGAGGTTCAATGCAATGTAACAATCTAGATTAGATAGCCAATCCCAAGGTGTACAAAATATAATAGCAAGAGCATAGTAATATCCATAGATTCCAAATAACTAGAGCCTATATTATGTATCTTTCTTCCTACCATAATGTTGAAGAATTTGTGCTCAAAGGAAGAATGTCTAAATAATGCTACATTTAAAATATATACATGGACCAACATTAATGAAAGTGACACTCACAAACCTAATACACTAGCTATATAATATGTATGTTTCTAGGAAATATTTAAAAACATAGTTCAAACATCAAGATGACGCTTTATATTATATGGGCACAATTCAAAACTCAAGTCCATCTACGAGAGCTATCTCAAGTGTGTTGATTGTGGTTTATTCTACCAAAATCATCATAGAGATACAAAAATCTATAAATTATGTACATTGATGGAAATTGTAATTGTGGTGATATAAGATTTAACAAATTTGTGCAAATAGATGAAAATTTTTAAAAATTTGAAAAACTACTTGATGCTTATTTAGATTTGTATTTGTTCTTATTTATTAGAAATATTTTTTTCAATTATTTAGTATAGAGTTAGTGTTGGGACCAGGGATATTATCACTACAAATAATATTTCAGCAACTACTCAAGTATTGTTGTTGTGTGGTAATATAACTATATGATAAAAAAAGAAAGAAAGATTATTTTACTGGGAGACTTAAATGAAAATACTTTTTCAAATTTTCTTAGAAATATAGATAATAGATAAAGAGATAGTAAAAAATAATAAATACTAATGTTGCTTTCTTGAAGAAGAGACTTTGACTTATTTTGTAAAGGCATAAGTAAAAAAAATCAAATAAATAACATAAATAATTAATATAGATATTTTTAGGAAGAAATTAAAAATATATTTTAACAAAAATTACTTCAAAATATAAAGAATTGATACACAAAGAAGACCAATTGTGAACCAAGGTCAAAATCAGACTCCAAGGCACAAGACCACACACCTACAAAGACTCCAGGGTTTTTTAGTTGATTAGAGTGTAAAATTTGAGAGAAAACATGTTAGAGGATTTTTGAAAGTTTATTTCATGTGAT